ATTTTGACTCATGAAGGAGAGACCACCTTTTTAACAGCTGTGTGACCATGCTTTTCAGCTACAGCTGGGGGAGAATTTGTCCTTGTTGGGGGTGGGTAGTCTTGCCTGTATGAGAAAAATAAACTGCATTGTTTTGTAAATGTAATTGCCTAAGCTAATCAATTTGTGGAGTGTTTTTCAGCTTTATTATCCAGGACTAAGGAATTACTGGACATATGCAGGAACTGGTAACAAATGAACTGAAAAAAATGGTAAAATAATTCCTTTGTCCTATTTAGTCTGAATATTTTAACAAGTTAGCATTTTTAACAAAGTAAGTGTAGGGGCTCAGATTAAGATTTATATTATTTTAGAAGCCATCTATAACTGATTTTAATATTTCCATGCTTTGAATTAGGGTGTATCTGCCTAGCGGGTGAACCTCCATAACGTGGGCTGTGATTTTTAGTTACAGTAGCGGGTGGGGAACCTGAGCTAGGGGGTATTTAAACGTGTCCGGATAAGGGGGAGCATACCCAATAGTTGTTGTGCAGTTCTATCCTGTATTATTATTTGAAACCCTGTATTACTTATAAGTAGCGTTTTGTAACTTATTTGTAATTGTTTATATATATTGCTCTGGGAAAGGGATAGGCAAAATCTCTGAGAGACCAGGAAATATATTTTAAAAAAAGGGCGTATTACACTAGTGGTAGGGTGGCCTATCATGACCATAGAGACCCTTGGTGACTAGTTTTTGTTGTATATTGCCCTGGGAAGGGGATACGCTATTTAATAGAAATTCCTGAGAGACCAGGAAATATACAATAAGTGATACGAGAGTGTACTGGTTAAATTGCAGACATATTGGCCCAGAACCTTTAATCGAGCCGGAAAAGAGGCTGCTGTATGTTTGCTCCTCTATAATTTTGCGGGGGCGGTCACCCCCATGTGGAAAGCCACTGCCATCACAGGGTGGTTAGTTGTGCAGGCCCTTAGCCGCGAGGTGCAAGCATGTCCGTGGAAAGGCTAGAAATTAATAGGGAGTCACTCATAGCTGTCAGAAGTGTTGAACTTTGAGACATATTGACCTATATCCTTTCAGAGGCAGAAGAGGTGTTGTGGTTCACTCCTCTATAATTTAACCAAAGGGTGGAGAGTTATTAAACATGTTTAGGTTGGCTAGAAATGTGTTTCCTGAATTGCAGAGAAGATGCAGAAAGCATCTATTAGCTGATTGTTTATTTTTTTTTTTTTATAATTTTTTATTTTGGTTGTGCATATATGATAGAATACAGGCAAGCTTATAATATGTCACATTGGCAGAGGCAAGCTTCCATAAACACAAACAATGTATTATATGACATATGAGGAACATGCACATTTTTATATTACGTGGTTAAACAAGCTTCAACATTCTATGTGAACAGGTAGATAACAGATGAGACTTGCACAGTTTTAGGGTGCGAGTATAAAAGAAGTGATCATGTCACTATGCATAGTGTAAGATATAAAACATGTTTAAGGGCAGGTCGCACAAGCAATAACAAGGTTGTTATAAATAGTTTTGTGGCCTTGGAGCTAAGTTACATGTCAAGGTTCCACCAGTAGCATTTAATACAGGTTGTAGGGTATCCATGTTAATCTATGGTACTCAAGCAATAGTGGTAATAACTTGCTGCACCTGTTAGTTAGCTTTTGAGAGATATAAATGTTAGCATAGAAGATTTTTTAGGCCTATGTCTGCATATTTATGGTTTGTACTGATAGTAGCTAACAAGGCTTAGGGCCACTGGAAACAAGTTGCCTTTAAGGCAGTAACTAGAGCGAGGAGGTACAATAAAAGTAAAATTGCGGACAATAAAACAAGGCCTTAAAACAAGGGGAACCGCTTTTTCTCGTAATGCCATGTTCGAGGGATGATATAGGTTATATGTATTGCCAGCCTTAGTTCCTTAAGACCCATAGTCTATGCAGTGACAGTTCTAGTTACTTGAGTCAATAGTCCGTGCAGCAACAGCAGTAAATGTGCCCTGTGGGTGCAAATACGGCATGTCCATGAGAGACATAGTGGTCGGCTTCAGCCTATGCCCAGTGCAGGATTGTGCCTCTTGCTGTTGGCTTTCGTCTCTGGGAAACCGCTGGTGCATGCTGGCAAGCTGTATAGGAGCGCTGCTGTGCGGGTGCGGGAACAGGTGATCCTCCAGCCCCAGGCTGGTGAGCAGGCCTGCATCACAGTGCCACAAACTCGGTGACTGCCAGAGTCTGAGTTTCCTCCTCTTGTGGGAGTGCCAGGGGGTCTGGTGGTGTGCTGCCGTTTACGGCGCTGGGACCTCCGCTGCTGTGGAAGATGCTTTCGGGCTTTAGCCCTGGGGGCCTTCAGCCCAAGTGGGCTACGTGGAATAGGGGTACTTGGCTGTGTTGTCGCTGCGCCCGAGGACACCCTCCTTGATCCCCGCTGCTTGTGCCCTAGCTCACCGGCGTGTGTCTTGGTTTGTGGATTGGTCTGGGCTGTCTTTATGCGTTGGTCCAGTTTCTCCCAGAACCGGAGGAAAATTTCCTCGAGGCGTTGCAGGGTATCTGTGGCAGTTTTTTGATGGGGCCTGTAGCTTAGAGGTAGGCTTCGAGTATTTAGTGAGTGTTCAGCCGCCATCTTAGATGTGCCACGAGGCCAGCGTTTTTGGTGCTTCGCTTGATGCTGTTGTCTCGATTAGTGCAAGTTGTTCTCAACTGCAGTTCTGTATGGTGTCCAGGATAACCCCCACCGGACCGGGGGGGGGAGAGGGTTGTGTTCAGGGTTTCAGTCGCTGTACTTGTGCCCGAAGAGCGGCCGTCTCTCCGTGGCTCTGTTCCTGGCCGGCTGCAAGCCTCAGTGCGTCTAGTTGGCTGTGCTGGAGCTCAGGAGTGGCACCTTTCGATGCAGCAGCCTCTCCTGGTTTCTGTTGTCGTGGGTTGCAGTCTGTCAGCCTCAATTTTTGGGCAGAAATCCCTGTTTTTTGTCCCCAGACGTGGGAGCTCTTGCTGGACACGTCTGGGCTGCTTGGTTGCTTAGCTCCGCCCCCCCAGCTGATTGTTTATTTTAAGAGCCAAGTAGAAAATTAAGAAAGTTACCTTGTTGAACAAATTGTTTATAAAATGAAAAGTTTAGGGAATGTATTTATATGTGTATATATGTATATATGCTAAGTAAAGGATTTGGCAGTATACGCTATAAGTGACAAGGAAAAGTAATCCTGATCTGTTTTCTTACCTTTTTCAGATATAGCAGAAACCAGGGGTGGACATTGGAACACAGATAGAATATCAGATGGAGACCAGTGTTTAAATGTTGACCTTTGATGAGCTATTGAATGTTTTATTTTATTGTCTATTTAACATGTCTATGCTATGATTTTGTGCATACTGTTCTCTTATTTCTAGTGATTGTATTGCAATTGAAACCCTTATGTATTATTATTGTATGTATGTATGTATGTATGTATGTATTTACGCTTGCCTGGGAAAGGGGGGAATTGACCCATAGGGACCAGGGGGTATTTTTGTGTAAACCAAACTGGGGTGGGAGGGCTCTAACGAGGGAACCCCATTGTCCAGTAGGTGCTTGATTTGTGTCTGTGTAAAGTGCATGAGTGGTTGCAGTTCAAAAAACAAAACAAAAAAAAATAAGAGGGATAAGAGAAAGTAGGCATTTTGGGTTATCTATACATGTTTAAATAGAAGGGTGGTAAATAGGAATGTAATTGTTTTGGTTAATGTTTAGATTAAATTGGTTAAATACAGCAGTGATAACGAGTGTTTAGATTAAATTGGTAAATGCAGCAGTAATAACGAGTGTTTGGGTTAAATTGGTAGATACAGCAGTGATATTGTGTTTATCTGTGAATCAGGAGTGTGCTGGATGTGAAGAGAGGTGTGTAGGTATTTATCCAAACGCCATAGGAAAAAATATGGTTAAGACACCACAATCAAATGGTACTTGTGATGATTGGCACAGTTATTATTTATGTTTGTGTTCGTCATTGCCTGTGTTTTCATTCAAGAACTTTCAAGCAAGGATATTTTAAGCAGAAGAAGAAGAAGCACTGGACACTATGCTCAACTGTTGCTGTAAGGAGAAAAAATATTGCAGCTAAGAGTGGTGAGAGTCGGAACAAAATGCATCAGGAGCAGGAAACTGTTACGTCAAGGTGGTTAATGGTATAAAGAAAGAAAAAACAAAACAATGTGACCACAAACACACAAAAGTCCTTGATCACATGAACTGTTTCATTCATCCCTGTCTCCATGCGTATGTTCTATGAGACTGTCGAAGAATAGAGTATCCAGTTTCCAGGACTAATGTTTGTGAAAATTCCAGGCACACAGACCAGCCAGAGGCTACAGAAATCGAGTCGGTCTGTGCCATGATTCATAGGTGTTATGAGTTTGTGGTGTCTAATACTATATTAAGCTCCAAAACACATCCTCACATGAACACAATATCATTGGTTAATCTAATAAAACATGGTTTGAGTTGTCTATTATTACAAGGGTGGGTATTTGCCTATTTAAGGCCAAGGTTTCCCAACTGCTAATGCATGTGCTCAGTGGTTATTCCCAACTGGTGATGCATGTGCTCAATGAAAAAAAAATAAAAAAAAATTGAATAAGCAATAAAGTGTCATAACTTTACGGGTAAATGGGTATCATTCTTAAAAAGGTGGGTTTTGTTGTAGGGCAGGTACTGTTAAAATAGGGTAGATTCAAGATGTACGGGTTTATAATGTTTGTTTTATGACATAAGTCAAAGGGTGGTTTGTAATGGTATTTATTAATTAATGACTTTTTGTCATAAAAAAAGCATAATGAGCTTAATGCTTTAGACGCACCACTAGATGTCAGTAAAGCATATTTAGTGTAATGCTTTGGGGGCACCATTAGGGGGAGTGTGTAGGAAGACCTGTGCTTCTGGCAGTGACATCACAGGCCAGCCTACTTACACTGAATAAAAACCCAGATGTGAGGAGAAGCTAGCTCTGTTTGCCTGTACCTGACTGATCATGTAGTACCAGCTCTGACTTAACCCCAGCCAAAGGGCTGGGGCCTTGTAAGTAGCAACCTTTTGTAAGTAATATGTTGTTTGTTTTGTATTATCATAATTGTAGTAAATTGACATTCTGCTAGCATCTGTTTATTTGTTATAGTTATATTAAATATACATTTAATATTACAATGTTTTGTGTATTTTCTATCCACATATTCGACCATAATACCATGAATTATAAAAATATTAATGTTGTTCCGTATTGCTTAATTATTATGTATTAAGAGATTAATATTCATATTTAGGTCACGACCACAACAGATGGTGGGAGCAACATGTCATCAATTCTGATCAATACAGTCAGTACCATGGATATATTCTAAAATGGTATAGACACATTGATGACTTTAAAATAGCAATGATATTAAGCTCAAATTGACTTATGACATTGATGAACACAAACTCATTCTTGGATC